AAGAACTGGTGTACAGGCCAGAGGTGGGGGGGAGGGTGAGAGGATTCACCTGAGACTGAGTGGGGAACAGAACAGACAGATCGACTGAAATACACTGCTGAGGGGAGCAGCAGGCAAGTCATGAGAGGTCTGCTGCACCATGTGGGTAGCTCCCTGGCTATAGCTCGAACTCGTGCTGCAGTAGCTGTGGATAGCATCATAGGTTGCGTCTTTTTTTTTTTTTTTTTAAAGATTTCTATTTATTTATACAAGAACCTGGGTAGAGGCAAGATGTGTAGGAGGGTGAGAAGATTCACCAGAGACAGAGTGGGAAACAGAACAGGCAGACTGATAAAATACACTGCTGAGGGGAGCAGCGGGCAAGACAGGAGAGGTCTGCTCCGCCATGTGGGTTTCTCCCTGGCCGGCCGGGATTCAACCCGTGCTGCAGAGGCTGTGGATAGCTTCACAATGCAGGCGCTCAACCGCCTGCGCCACCAAGGAGGCCCAGGTTGCTTCTTAACCCCTGTGCCACCAGGGAGGCCTTCTCCTCTCTTTTACTTGTAAGAAAACCACTATCCGGGGAGGTTAATGTAGAGTAGGAGCTAGAAAGGTAACTTGTGAATGTTCTATATATCTTAGCTTAGAAGGATTTGTATGACCTGATCCTTTGCCACCTCTCATCCTCATTTTGTCCTTTCTCTGCATTATTCCACCTAAATTGAGTTGGCCTTTTTATTTTTATTTTATTTTTTTAAGGTTTTTTTATTTATTTATACAAGCACTGGGTACAGTCAGAAGCTCAGGAGGGTGAGAGAATTCACCAGAGCCAGAGCGGGGAACAGAACAGGCAGACTGACGAAATACACTGCTGAGGGGAGCAGCGGGCGTGGCAGGAGAGGTCCGTGCGCCATGTGGGACCTTCGCCGGAGGCCGGGGATTGAACTGGTGCTGCAGAGGCTGCGGGCAGCTTCGCAGCCCAGCGCTCAACCACTGTGCCACCAGGGGAGGCCCTGGCCTTCTTTTTATTCCTCAAACCCACCTATTGTGTTCCTGCTCCAAGGCCTTCACATTTGATGTCTCCCCCACTGGAAAACTCTTCTCCCAGATATTGCTCTTCCTTTATGTCTGTACTCAGATGTCATGTCATCAGAGAGGACTTCCCTGCCCATCCTGTCTAAAGCACTACACAGCCCTGCTTATCGTCTGCCCCCCTTATTTATTTATATAAAGTAGAGATCTAACTTTGTCTTATTTCAAATGTATAAAACTAATGTTAAGTTTCCAGATGTTAAGTAAACCATCATTTCCCCTCCACTATTACATTTGTATATTTTTTGTGATTTTTTTACATTGTATATTTTATTTCTTTTCACTAAAATGTAATTTTGTGAAAGTAGGTACTTGATTTTTGTAGACTTAAACTGTATCTTTCAGGGCTGAGAATAGTGCCACAGAGTAAATATTCATTGTAACATAAGTTAAATCAGGTTACTCCTTTGTTCAAAACCTTCCCATGTCATTCAAGTAAAAACCAAAGTCCTTAAAACAGTCTGTTAGGGTGTGAATTGTACCCCTACCCCAATTCATAAATATTGAAGTCCTAACCCCAAAGACATCTGAGAATGTTACTGTATTTGGAGATAGGGCCTTTAAAGAGATTACAGTTAAATGAGGTGATATAGGTGGTCCCTGAATTAATATAGCTACATCCTTATGAGAAGAGGGAGAGACACCACAGGGATGTGTGTGTGTGAAAAACTCCTATGAGGACACAGCAGGAAGGGCGCCATCTGCAAGCCAAGAAGAGAGAACTCGAGGTGATCTTGGACTTCCAACCTCCGAACTGTGAGAAGACAAATTCCTGTTATTTAAGCCACCCAGGCTGTGGTATTTTGTTATGGCAATCTTTGCGAACTAATACACCCCGTAAGTATTCCCAGTTCCCTTCCACCCCATCACTTATGTCCCTTCTTAATCATGCTGTTGCAGCCTCTTTGACTTTTCGCTGTTCCTGACTTTCACCTCACAGTTTTTGTATTTTATGTTCATTCTAATTCTATTTTAGTAAGACATGCATTCATTTTTATCTGTGGGAACTTACAAATTTGTTGTTGTTGTTTGTTATCTTAAAGGGAAGAACATTTTAATGGAGGGAAAATGATAGATTACTTAACATGCGGAAACTTAACATTAGTTTTATACATTTGAAATAAGACAGAGTTAGATCTCTACTTTATATCATAAAATAAATTGTAGATTAGTTAAGCATTTAAATATAGAAAATAAAATTGTGAAATTATAAGCAAAATTTAGAAAGCTTAAGAGAATTTTTGTATAACTTCTGGGTGTGTATTCTTGTAGGGGTGGGATGAAACTTCTTAGGCAAAAAAGAAAACTCAAATGTTATAAAAAGGATTGACAAATTTTATTGCACTTAAATTTTATAGTGGCAAAAGACACTCAAACAAAAATATTAATGGGGAAAAAACAGTTGACATATTTTCCAAAGGGTTAATATTTCTTACATATAAAGGGCTATCTTCTTGTGAGACAGAGATAATCAGCTTATTAGAACTATGAACAAAGAATAGTAAAAAAGATTTTTTAAAGGAGGAAATGTATATGGCATATAGATATGAAAGGATACTCAATTTCGTAACAGTTTTTTTGATCCAGGTTCATTCATTCTTTCATCAAATATTCATTTTCTACTATGTGCCAAGTATTATTCTAGGTATTGGAGATAAAGCAGTGAAGAAAACAAGCAAATATCCTTGACATCATGGAGCTCACTTTCTGGTGGAGAGAGATTAATAAATAAATTATATGGTAGGTTTGAAGGTGATAAGTGCTCAGAAATAAATAAAGCCATAAAGCAGGCAGCATAAAGGAAATGAAAGGAACTTAGGAGGTTACTTTGCACAACTCCAGGGAAATGAATTTCAAAATCTAGATGAAATAGATGCTCTTCTAAGAAAATGTATATGATAAAAATCATTGTGGAGGAAAGAGAAATTCTAATCAAATTAGATATCATAAAATATCTAGAGAAAGTTGTTCAAGAGTGGCTCCTAGAAAAAGTGCCAAAGATATTTCCAAGGTGAATTCTACTTACTCTTTAATGAACAGACAAATCCAATGATATTCAGGTTATTTCAGAGTTTAGAGAAAGAAGTGATGTGCTGAGAAATGGTGATTTTCTTTGTATTCAGTGGAAGTGGGAATTTGTATAAGCTTTATGGAAAGTATTCTGATACTATTTAGTAAATTTAAATCTATAGCTATGATGTATACCTATTTTTACCCATGGAAACATGCATTTATATGCCTTAATCTGGCATTCTTACTCTTGGGATTCTAGTCTTTAGTAATTTCAGTTGATAATGTTTGTATATAGCAATGTTATGTTTATGGCCATACCACCCTGATTGTGCCCAATCTCATCTGTATATGCAATGTTTGTAGTATTAAGATGAAAACAAATTCAGTGTTCAACAACAGGTGGAGTAATTACTGATAGAGCTATACTATGAAATGCTTGAAATGAAATGAAATATATCATGAAATGCTTGAAAAAAGAGAGGCTATATATATAGTTTACTCAAAGAAATGTCAATAGTCACAAAAGCAAGTTGCCAGTTAACGTCAATTTTTGATAGAAGGAATAAAAAACATTTCCCATTGCCTGAAAATAACATGTTTGTGTATACATGTAAGGATATAAACAAGTGTGTGAAAGGAAACACATCGAACATTGGTTACTTGACGCTTTTGGAGCGCTGCTAGCTGTTTTGTTTTTGGTTTGTTGCCTCTAGAAGGATTTTTAGCTTGAAATGCGAATGCAATTAGATATATTTCACAAGAGATGTTTCCTCCAGCCTTTTCTATGCTTATTTTAATGTGAATAAAAAGTGCATCTGCTTAACTGCTAGTGTGAGACTTAGGCTATGTGATACAATCTGTGTGGTATCCATAAAGTAGGACTTCAAGGTTTTACGAGATTTTGCTCAAAGATTGAGTTTTATGTTGATATAGTAGAGTAGTAATAAGTTACACAAGCTCTGTCTATTCAACTTTTTTCATCAGTGAAACGAGGCTTAAATGCCACATAGGTATTTTAATTTGTGAAATAACATGAGAGGACTTTTTGCTTTTAGCTCATTTTGAGTGACTGCCTTCATCCCATCATTGCTCTAGGGATGCCAAAAATATAAGGCAAACATAGCCTTCAGCATACAAAGCATTGCTTTTAAGTGTCAGCTGAGTAGTACCTATTTAAATGTCATCGAAGGTTAAAAATGATCAGGGAAGACTTCGCGGAGGAGGTGAGACCATACAGGTTTTCAAGTGTGCGCACGCTTTGGTTAGGCCAGACACGGAACAGGTGGCGGCAGGGGCTTACGCGGTGCGGGAGGTTTGCCGTGGCCGCCGCGAGCGCCGCCCGCGAGCGCGCCCCCTCCCGGAACCAAGTTTCCTGTGCCCGGGGCTAGCGCGGCGCGGGCCGTACGCAGGCGCTGGCGGTGGACGAGGACTCGCACAGGCTTCCTAGGCGCGCATGCGTGCGGCTCTGTGGAGGCGGTAGCTTCTTCGGCGTCGAGACCCGGAGGCTGAGTGCTAAATTGTGGGGCGCAAATGGGATCCGGCTGTTAGTCGGGTAGGCATAGGTAGGACGGCTGCTTCGTGGGGAGAGGGGGCTGGAAGGCGGCTCTCGTAGCGAGGGGGCCCGGAACCTCTCCTGTGAGACCCGGGCCGACTATTGTATGTGTGTCGCAGCGGCTGCGCACAAAATGGCGGCGAGCAGACGGCGGGGGCGGGAGGAGGTTGGGGGACCCCGGGGATGGGAAGGGAAGAGGCTTGGCAGCCCGGGTGCGGCGTCTATCCACCTCAGCGCCCTGGAGGGCCGGGCCGGGCACCGGTGCTAGGACCCTGTCTCTGGAGGAGCCGCCTGACGCCGCTGTGCTGGGCCGAGAAAGAACAGCCCTTGGGCAAGGCCGTGGCGGCCCCTTCCCCAGCGGCGCGGGGCCTGAGGAGGCAGCTGCGGGCCTGACAGCGGAGGAAGCGGTGGTGAGGGAGCACTGAGGAGGGAGTAACCCTTCCCGTCCGGCCTGGAAGAGAGGCGGCGGAGCTTGAGCCGAGCCTTTTGGCAAGCGACGTGGTGCAAGAAGCGTGGAGAGAAGAGCTTGTTTGTGTTTGGGGCTGGGAAGGGGGAGAGTCGGGATGAAGGGAGGGAACGTTAAGACTCCAGCGGCTTTTGCTGGTCGGTGTTGCCGATGCCTGCCTTGGTGCTGGTGTGAAAGCAAAGAAAATGTCACCTCTCCAGAATTCGGAGGGCTCGTGTTCTGAGGTATTCCAGATACCTCAGAGGAATCGTGAAATGCGGATCGTTAGCCCTGTTTGCGTGTCATCCCTAGCCCGGGTTCGTGCTGTTAAAGGTGGGGGGAGAATGTCTGTCACAATCACACACACGAATCCCCGAGGACGTTTGAAACAGATCTTTTGTTGCTTGAAGTAATTGCAAACGAGGGAAACAATCTTTAATTGAACTAGACAATGAAGGCTGCTTCAAGAGAATTTTTCTTAATCCTGAAGTTTGCGCTAAGCGAAAATGGGATAGAACGTAATAACTATGTAAGTCCAAGCTCTGAAAAGAGTTCTGAAGAAAAACTTGTTACCGGGATCCGGCGACCTAGGTTGATCTAAATTCTTTTTCTAACTAGCGGTGGATTCGGTATTTCTTCATTGGTTGTAAAGGGTTAACAAGATGTTTGCTGGTTCAGATTTGCCATTAAAAATTGACGAACTGGAAAAAGATTTTTTAAAATAACGAATTTAATGGCTTACACAGAAAATAAACACACACTTTTCTCTTTTTTTAAACAAGCTTCAAGATTTGTTGATATTAAGCATTCAAAAATTAGTGGGCTTTTATGTTGAATTCTTTTTCTTTTAAAAAATTAGCATTTCGTATATACTTGTATTCTGCTACTATGTAATATGTCTTTTCAAATAATCCCTGGAATCCAACATGTTAATACACTAAAATATGCTGGGCTGTTCCCTCTTTGGTGGTTTGTGTTGGAAGCAAGTCAGGGTAAAGATAAAAACAGTTGGAAGAAATTGCAAAATCTAATTTTTTTTATTGTTTTCGCGATGTGTTTATTCATGTTACACAGTCATTATTTTGAATATTGGTTAATTTTTAGTTTTGTAATTTTTGTGTCTTGTTACGGAAGAGTGTATACAGCAGATACTACACTTTAAAAGATGCTTCTTACAGTCCATCTCTTTGTGCTTCATGGCTGTCTTATTTTCTCTTGGGTGCTCTTAAGAAAGTGATTTCTGGAAATTTTTTTTTTTTTATGTAGTGAAAGAAAATGAGAGACAAATAGTGTAGTGGAAGGAGAATAGGCTTTGGAATCAGAAGATCTGGATTCGAATCCCTGTTTTCCTCTTACTGTATAGGTGAACTTTTGGTAAGTTCTTTTAGTCTTCCTGAAATTTTGTTTTCTTATCTGTAAAATGGTGGTAATAGTATTTCTGCTTGGAATTGTGAAGTTAAGTGAGACAATGTGTGGACATATACTGGTACTTAATGTGTGGACATATACTGACATATACTGGTACTTAATATTAGCTGTACTTTCACCACAAGTTTTTAACTACTTACCCGGCATCTTTTGATGGAAAATAGCAACCTACCAACACTCTTTTTCAGCTAAAAAGAAGAGGCTTAACGGAACTTAAATTAATAGAATTTGGGAGCAGAAAGATGACCTGATTTTTCAATAAAGTAATGTGTGCTTCTATAAATTTTATATATGCCTCTCTTTTAGCCCTTATTAAAATAAATTGCAACCATTTATTATATGATTGTCCATCTTTGTATCTGTCCCAGTGGGTGGTATGTTTAGCTCTCACTTGAACTCAGCGTGTAGTTGCAGGTGCCTGGGGAAGAACACAGGCCCTTGAAAGTCCAAATCATGCTCTTTACACTATGATTTAATATGTTGGTTAAGGTTTGAGTAAATCTCCAAATACTTAATAAAATAGCATATATACTGAGAAATAGTGCTTGCAGTGAGGGTACCCAATAACACAGTTTGGACCCTTTTGCAGGAACACAGGCACTACTAACTGTTGAAATGTAGTTTAGAGATCTTCCAAACTGAAAATAGTTATATTTGTGGTTAAAGCCAGAAAGTCACTGTTTGTATCCAACTTTACTTACTCTTTCATTGCTTCAATTTCATTTACTATAGTCTGAACTTTGTGGTTAAAAATGAAAATAGAGGGAAAATAGGTGTATGGAAGATTTAAGGATAATGGAAAGAAAGAAAGCAAGGAAAAGTGAGTTATCAGAAATTACAGGTCAGGAATAATAAGGCTTTTGTTTTGAAAAAAGTTCAGGGAGCATAGGAGAGTTTTCAGCTACATGTTTTGATATTTTCTTAGTGGTTACCTTGTGGTACATATATTTTGGATTATTGCTCAAGTTTTTTGACTCCCTTAAAAACCAAAATAAATTTATGGTTACAATATTTTACTTTTTAAATTTTTCTCCCACCTATTTCCAGTCTTCATTTTATTAAACTAGTTTTCAACTAGTTTTCCTGCTAATATGTTAATGTTGCCAATCCTTCTTTTCGTTTTAATTTCTTCATTTTTAAGAAACATTTTGTTATGGAAATTTTAAATATACAAAGCAGGGAGAATTATATTTATGTAATATACATTATAGTTACCATGTATCCGTCATGCAGCTTCTTTTATAAGCTAATGGTCAGTCTTGTTTCCATCTTCCACCTTGTTGTTTTTATGTAAATCCCATATATCCATTAAACTTTTTGTAGGTTCAAAATTTTCTCTAAAATATTTAGAGAAAAATGTATGCTTCTGCCTGAGATAATAATTCATTACTATCATTCAGTCAGTATTCTTATTTTCTTAGTTGTGTTTCATGCACTACTCAAGTATACATTAATTTCTATTTCTACTACCTTATTGTAATTTTCAGGAACTACCTGTCTTTTTTTTTTTTATTTTTAAAGATTTATTTATTTTTATACAAGAGCTGGGGTACAGGCCAGAGGCGTGGGAGGGTGAGCGGATTCACCAGAGACAGAGCAGGGAGCAGAACAGGCAGACAACCGAAATACGCTGCTGAGGGGAGCAGTGGGTGCGACAGGAGAGGTCTGCCATGGCAATCTCCCTGGTTGGCTAGGAATTGAACCCGCGCTGCATAGGCTGCGGACAACTTCACAGTGCTGCGCTCAATCTGCTGTGCCACCAGGGAGGCCCTGAAACTACCTGTCTTAATAAAGGGAACCAACACTTACCTACTAAAGTAAGTGTTCTGTTTACTATCAGCATTTTTGAGCACATGTTGCATGTCAATAGTTAAGACTTTTAATTTTCACAACATTCCCATTTTCCACATGATGAAACAGACTTGGGATAACAAGCTTGCTCTGGGTCAGATTTTTAGAAGGCAGTGGGACCAACATTGAACACTGTTGAACACTGCTAAATTAGTGTTAAATTTTACTTAAGGGAGTTAACCAATTTTGCATGAAGTCATTCACTGGCACCTCTCCTAGCAGGGTGGGTATCTTCAAATCAGTGGAAATTTCCCCAAAGATCAAATTTCTATTTATTAGGATTGCATAATAAACTGAGTAACAGTCGTTAGGGAATGAACATGATGCAGAAAAAGAAGGGTCAAGCCCCCAAAGTTGACTATTTTGTCAAAATAGTAAAAATTTCAGGCTGATGTTTATTATCATATTGCAGGTTTTCTGCCTGTGCCATACTTTTTGACTTGATGTGTAACTAAGTTAGATAGTTTGGTGTTAGGTTAAAAAGTTGGGTCATTAACTTATTTTTGAATGAGTTAAAGCCCTGGCTGATAGAAATTGCCCTTTTCTCCTCTTCTGTACACACACAGATACCTGTTAATTTCCTGAATTACTTGAGAGTAAGTTGTATGTATTGTGCTCCTGTATCCTATGTATTTCCTAAGAATTGGATGTTTTCTCTGTAGTTCTAATACAGTCACAAACAATAAATTTAAAATTGAATAGATTGAAATAAATTGAAATAAAATTGAAATAAATTTTAAATTTATTAAGTTCTTTATTCTGACTTTGTCATTTGACTCAATAATCATCTTTATAGCAGTTTTTTATCCCTCTCTAGTATAGGATCAGACATTACGTTTAGTTGTCATGTCGCTCTATTATTATTTACTTTGAAATATTTCCATATCCTGCTTTTCCTTTGTGAAGTTGACATTTTTTGAAGAAAACAATCTTTTTTAATAGAACATTTCTCATTTTGGATTTGTGTGATATTTCCTCCCTAATAGATTCAGATTATGCATCCCTGGCCAGAGAAATTACGTAAATGATGCTCTATCCCCAGGATATTAGATCTGGAAGTACATGATGTTCCTTTGCCCCTCATGGATGATAGTATGTTTGATCATATGTTTAGTCACATTGTTAGACCCCTCTCCCTCTACCCCCCCACCCCCATGCATAACTCTTTCCTTAAACTTACTGATCTGTGGAGAGATTTTAAGATCATGGGAATGTCTGGTCCTTATCAAAATTTCTCTGTGGCTTTAACATGCATAGATGATTTGTGTTTGAACCAATTTTTACTATGATGGTTACAAATAATGATTTTCCAACTTTAGCGGTCCCTCTACATTTACATTTGTTGATTGGTAGGGGCTATGAACTCTTGGTTTTCATTGACTTGCAATTTATTACTGTTCACTTCTTCCATCTCCATAGTTACACATCTTATCTTTTGCATTGAGAGCCCTCATTCCTGGCATTATCAAACATTTACTTATATACTCTGTTCTGTGATATATCTCAAGTAATTTTAAGAATTTACTCATACCACAACAAAATATAAGAAACTACTAAATAGAGTAAGAATTCGTAGTTCTTCCCTTTTTCTGAAGTATGTAAATCAAATAGTGGGTTCATAAGTTACTTGGGTTGGTTTTCTTTTTTCACTTTCAATGGAGCATGATACTCGTTTGAAAAAAGATCATATTATTTCTCCTACCGTTGTTGATTTAATTTAAAAAAATTTGTAGATTGTTAACATGATTCTAAAAGTCAAAACTCTATGATGATATGTACTCATAAAATATCATTTCCACCCCTTTCTGGATTACCTTTATAGGTAATCCTAATTGTTTTTTGTTATCTTTCCTGTTTCTTGTAACCATAAGTAGATATATATTTGTTTTTTTCTTCCCCCAAAGTAACATAGTCTATATGGTCTTTTGTACTTGGTAAAGACTTTAAAGTATTTAGCCATCAGATAGTTTAGGTATGCTTAACTGAAGATTTTGGAGACCAATTTTAGGCACATGGGAACATTTTTTGGCTTGTATGCTTCATGAAAGAAGTGAACAAGCTAAGAGGACAAAGATGCAGGAACAGTTGGAACTAGGTCTTTGATGTCTTCATCTTACCTCTGTTGTATTGGCTTCATTTTGTTTCAGTGCTTGTACTTTCTCACTTCGGTTTCAAACATCCACACTTTTTTTCATTCCTAGTTTAAAACATATCCCAGGAAAAATTTCTTTATTCCAACTTGGATCAGGTAGTTTTTCTTGAACTTGGAGTGTTATCTTTGTTGAGGGTAACAAGGTAAGCAGGACACCAGCGCACTACTCCAGGAGGGTGTCATTTGCTGTGAATACAACATTGTGCTCTAAGACCCATATATAGATACAGTGTACGTGCTTCTATTAAAAAAAAGTGTTTGATTTTATTCATCTATTTATCAGGAAGTTTTTTTAAATTGGAAATAACTATAAAATTAGTGTTAGGGGGTAAATGTATGGTTCTCATGGTAGTTTATATTTCTTTGCGTTGTGCATTAGCAATAGAGCTTCCTTCTCCCTCCCTGCCCCTCCCCTCCCAAGTGTGATGATGTTTATCAGACATTCCAGGTAGCAGTGAAGTTTGTGATCCCCTTCTTGATAACAGATAGTGTCTACAATACTATGCCAATTTTTTCTTTGTTTCTTAACAGTTTCTTTGAGGTATCACATTTTGATGTTTTAACATCCTGCATGGTATTCTATCCGTACTGTGCCATGTTGTAATGGTGACTTGCATACCTTTTGTGGGACATAAAGGGGCAAAATGAATGATAGAAAAAAAGTTGGCTGAGGGGATCTATCTAGATGCTAAAACAGATTAGCAGAAGAGTGCCAGTTGAACTGAGGAAAAAACAAAATGGCATGTTATTTTTATATTTACTGACCAGTATAATACTGGCTTTCTTAGGTGTGAAAGCGAATTTATTCTGAGATAACAAGCAGCACCAAATGAGATACGTGGGTATGTACGTAGAAAAATAATGTAGTTTGCTGTTTGTGGCATGTCATGAAGATGATTTTTCTTTGTGGGAAGGTAGTGAACACATTGTTTTATAAAATTAG